AACTCACACAAGAAGAGCTAGATCACATCGCTTACATACAGAGGATAGCGGAGCAAGAACAGTTGTCAGTTCTACCTGTGCCCACCATAGTTAGGGAAGAAGTTACAACAGCAGATTCAGTCACACCAACCGCTACGCCTGTAACGGAAGCACCAGTGGACGCACCTGTACCACTTACGCAAGAGGAACTTGATCATATTGCTTACATACAAAGGCTGGCAGATCAAGAACAACTGTCAATCCTGCAGAAGCCTCCTGTGTCCACTACAGCTGTAGAAGACTTAGCGACAAGCGTTCCACCTGCACCTGAATCACCTGTTCAAGCACCTATGGAACTCACACAAGAAGAGCTAGATCACATCGCCTCCATACAGAGAATGGCGGAGCAAGAGCACCTATCACTCCTTCAGAAACCTGTGTCCACCATAGTTGGAGAAGAAGACAAGGTAACCGTCACCCATCCAGACATACCAGCCGCTGTGCCTCTAGCGGAAGCACTCACGGCCACATCTGTAGAACTCACCCGGGAAGAACTTGATCATATTGCTTACATACAGCGTATGGCAGAACAAGAACAAATGCCAGCGCAGCAGCTTCCTGTCTCAGTTACTGCTAAAGCTGCCGAGCAACCAAGCCCTTCAAGGGCCACTTTCGTGAGTGAACCACCGGCGGAAGCTCTTGCGCAACTTACACAGGAGGAGCTTGATCATATCGCTTACGTACAAAGTATGGCAGAACAAGAACAAGTGCCTGCGCAAAAACTTTCTGATTTACTCACTTCTAAGGATGAAACTGCTGCCCACGACATCGTAAAAGCTGCGCCTTTAGCGGAACCACATGCCGAAGCAGTACAACTTACACAGGAAGAGCTGGATCACATCGCTTACATACAGAGGATGGCAGAACAAGAGATGTTAGCTTTACAAGAACCTTCTGTAGCAGTGAGGCCTCAAGAAAAAACTGCAGAAGCTCATGACTTCTCAACCACAGCATCTCCGGCAAAACAGCCTACCGAGGCGCAGCTCACACAAGAAGAGCTGGATCATATCGCCTATATACAGAAGCTCGCAGAAGAATCATTCGGTATGCCTACAACAGAAGAATTCACGCTGAGAATTGATGAGCATAGAACTCAACCAACTGTGACGATAGAAAAGACCATTGAGAGGGCTCCTACAGTGGAATCTACCTTGCAAGTTTGGAACGATCGAGGTCATGTCCAGGAATCAGTGGCCGCTGTAATCAAAATAGACGAGACAGTGAGCGAACCTTCGAGCGTAACCATGAGGGATCAAAGTGAGGCAAAGTTGCCGTCAAAAGTGGCCTTCGTCAAAGAATCACCTTTCGAAGCTGAAGTACAGCCAGCATCTTCCATAGCGGAAGCAATAGACGAACATGTTGGGCTTGTTGAAGCC